AGTAGATCAGCATGGGTGAGCTTCTGTGCTTGCAGATCAAATTGATGGATTGGGAAATTCAAAAGCAAAAGGTTCCTGTGGCATTGCTCATAGGTCTTACTATATATGCAGTTGAACATAGCAAGTTATGTAACTTCTCCTTTTTCTGAAGTGAATAATAGGAATATGCTGCAGCCATACCGTGCAGCCGAGTTAATGCTAGAGTTGGAAGGCTTCCTCACTGCCTAGCCATCTTTTAATTATTTTTACTCTTGAACCCTAACGTTATCCCATAGCTTAGCTCTTGGGGTTCTGCATGTTTAATTTGTAAAGCTCTTTGTTTCACTAAATGAAGAAAAAAGATTTCTCAGCGCGATAGATCGTGGGCATCCGTTACCCTATAGGCAGCTGGTGCTGTTTAACAAGTGAGGCCGACAGCGTACGGAGCTGAATGTGCGCACATCCTCACGGACGCTTGTGGCTGCTTGTGCTCCAGATGGCACTTCCAAATATATGTAACTTCATGAACCGACTGGTAAATCAACTCTAATTGATGGCAAGCTTTAAACGGGGTAAGACTGAAACTATACAGACAAGGATTTCAAAGCTGAGCAGCTTTGGAGTTATTTGCCTTGACTTCACAGGGGAAAATCCATCGGGAAAGCATGGGATGTAAAAGAGCGCTCTTGTTTTTGTTTGCCCTCTTTGATTTAAAGATGTAACTTGCTCTTTTAAATTTCCCTTGGGCTGGGAGCCAAATTGTGCTCCCTTGAAGACGATCACAAAGCGAACTTCATTGGAAATGGGATTGGGCTCCCAGCATGGAAAATAGCGATTCAAAAGAACTCTTTTTGGAGATTTATGAGCGTATGAAAAGAGGGCGTTACAATGAGTTGTGTAGCTGCGTAGAAACTGTAATCACAGTGATCTCTGCAGTATTCAGGGGTAACTACATTTCTCCGCTGTCACTCAGGATGCAGCCATCCTTCTTGCCAGAATAGGGTACGAAAATTTCCTTTCGGGCGTCCTTAGCATTGTTTTCCATCTAGTACTTGGCATCCTTCTGTCATCGGTGAGTAAGGGAAAGGCAAAGTGAGAGTGCCGGCCCTACTGGGAGCAAAGTGCTGGGCGTGCAGTTACACAGTGGTCGTGGTTGGAGTGGAGGAAGCATTCCCATCTCTCCTCTAGTGGTTCGCTTGCGCTGCTATTCACCCTGGTGTTGGTTTTGCTGTTTGGGGCTGTGCTGTGAACTAGGTCACGGAAGGGATCCAAGACAAAAGCGTGGTGAGGGGGAGAAAAGGGATTTTTTTGTTGTTGTTGTTGTTTTGCTTTCCAGTGGTGCTGTTTGCTCGCTGAGAATTGTGTTGACACAACTGAGGGTGGTGAACCGTGGTGTGGAGGTGGAAGCCACTTACACCGGCTTTCTTGTAAATGCCGAAATACAGTGCAACCGTACCCTTGGGCTGAAGGAGCTTTCTTTCACACAGGGCCAGAAGCTCTGCAAACAGACCATGCCTTCAGTGGCATCCTGCAAGAAGTAATGATCTTTTCTGAAGCCGTTTCAATTGGCTAAATTGGGTTCTCAATTCACACTTGTTTGTGGAGGGATGAGGCCCCAAATGATGGGGCTGCTTCTTTACGCAGCAGAGGGGTAGAGTAAGAATCATAATTAATAGTGATTTAGTGGTGGAAGTGTTTAAAGACTGTGCTTAATTTGGATATGGTTGTGCTATGTGGGATACACGTACAGCTTGTCTTCTCTAGCTTTGCTCAGGCTTTAGTGGTGAACCCTGTTGGGGTGGTGGCTAATCCAGGGTTGACTTCTGTCTATGCCATTGGAAAAGCTCCAACCTGGAGACATAGTTTAGCATGTTATTTGTCTTTTGGTCCCCTCCCTAGCTCTTCCACAGCAGCTCCAGAAGTTTTTCTGAGGTAAGGCTGGTCCCCTTCCTGCTGTAAAATAGACCGGGGGTAGGTAACTTGCTTGGCTTGGCTATGAAGAGCGTGTGTTTGGACTGTGCTCCTCCCTCCTTGGTTTCTTCATATCATCCTGCTCGGGCTGGGAGTGGTGTCTAGCTAGCAGCCCAGGCTAGCCTTCATTGGCCAAATCTAGGAAGCCTTGTTGAAGATCAGCCATAGTTGGGCACCAGACAAAGCCAGTGGTCTTCTGCTTTTTCCAGCTGAAGTTGGGCAGATATATTTTATTCCCGGCAGCCCTGTAACTGCCTTGACAAGGAAGATCTGTTTAGCCACCAGTGTGTCCTGCAGCTGGAGCCAGGAAGTGGTGCAGAGTCCCAGGTTCATTGTATTGCTTTTGACAACAATCCAGGAGGCTTAACGTTTTTGGGGGCCACCTTGTTGACTTTTCACAGAGCTGTGTCAAAACCGTTGCTCTTGTTTACACAGAAAATGAAAGTTGGCATGATCCAGCCTGCCCCGACGTTCCTGTGTTGGTCTTCCCGTGAGTCTGCTTTCTGTGCCTGGTGCCCAGCACTGCCTTGCTTCACCCACCGTCAAATGGGCACCGCTTGCTCTTGGTTCCTGTCTAGACAGCCTGTGCATTTCAACAGCAGCTTCTACCTGCTGAAGTGTTCTCCGACATCTCCAGGGAAGCGTGAACCTGTGCTGCTGGGGCTGAGAGGAGGCAGGAGAGGGGCTCTGCTCCCAGTCCCTGTCTCAGCTCTGATTCTTCAGTCTAGGAGTTGGGGGAGAAATTCTGTTATGTGGTTAGAGGAAAAGGTTGGGAGTTGACACTTTCCTAGAAGCCAGGGAAAAATGCGTAACCCTTACTGATGTATGCCAGCAGCTCTCCTTGCTTTTCCTATTCCTGTACTGTGGTAGTGTGTATTTGTGAAGACAGTGGTTGTTCTCAAAGGGACTCCGGTAATGTCACAAACAGTCAGTGGTTTAAGCCTATAATACTTGTTACCACCTTTTGTTAAATTGAGGATGTTCCTGGTTTGTAATGCCTAATGTTTCCAAGGTTCTGTGTAGCCATCTTCTCTGTGGGTATCATAGCGCTTTTTGAAGGCAGGGAGGTGGTGGCCTCACACCCATTTATCAAAGGACGGACATGGAGGAAGGGTTTTTCCAAGGTTGCGTAGCAGGACAGTAGCAGGACAGAGGTAAAAATCAGGTTTAATGAGTCCCAGCCTATTGCTGGATCCATAAGCTACAGGCTGTGTGCAAGTCTAGGGAGTTAATGAGTGTTACATCATGTGTCCCAGGCTGGGGAATTTTTATTCCTGTTAACTGTGCCGTGCCTTGGCTTTATGTCTTGCTGTGTTTAAATTCATCCTCATTCTTCCCCTCCCAAAACCAGGCCTTTCGTTCCCATCCTTATTTGTGCTTTCTAGATTCCTTGCTGCCTTTAAAGAGCTTTATCAAGGCACGGTATGCCCTTAGAGCTTGGGAATTGCTGTACACAAAAGGTCCCCCCCCCCCCCCTTCTCCTTTCCCAGCACCATGGCAGGCCAAAGCGTTGTGCAAATGCCCCCCCCCCCCCGCCTCCTCCTTTCCCAGAGCCCTGGCAAGCCCAAGTGTTGTGCAAATACCTGCAGCTCCCGATGCAGCAGGAACACTTCTTTACTTCGTTGCAGATTGCACTGCCAGCCAAGGAACCCTGTGGGGAAGAGGCTTCGTTTTTTGGCATGGCTTGCGTGTGGTAGAGCTCTCTGCTCGTTTATGAGCTTTTCTGGAGGTGTTAGTGGAGGAATCTTACGGCTGGAAAGAATAGTTGGCCAAGTATGAAGCCCGATTTCTGTTGTTGTCCCTCTGTGTTTGGGGAGGGAGAGGGCTGAAAGCAGTGGTTGACTGTTTTATTGCTAACAGCTTTGAAAACTGCTGTGAGCAGAAAATAACGGAGGGATCTAATTTAATTTTAAAGCATTTTTTTGCCCGCTCTGAAAGTACGGCATGGCTGTAGCCCTGTGTTGGATGGAGATAGCAGTCGTCTGGGCAGGAGGCATGTGAGAGTGCTCCTACACGCCAAACGCTGGGCTGTGCCAAGGTACCTCTGTCCGTAGCTGCAACCCCTCCATCTGCACCTCTTCACCATTTGCATGCATTTCCCAAACCGGTGACTAACTCCCCTCCTTTCTGTTTCTCTTCACACCTAACGCAGGGTGTGGGTTTGGAAAGTGGGTTGGTGTCTACCCTTCTTCCCCACAGGGTTCATGGTTTTTGACATGTCACTGTTGAGAATTGTTCTGATGTCGCCCTGCTCCTGTTCCAAAAACCATGACCCTCTTCTGCCCTTTACGGATAAGACTTAAGCTTCTGTTCCAAATGGAAATATGTTGTAAGAAGTGTTGGCCCATATAAGATAGATGTGATCTCTAATCAACTCTCCCCAGTGTTATTAGTATGTGTGTATATATAGATACAATTTTTAATAAAATTCAATTCTTCAAGGCCCAAATTAGGTTCTGGAGGCAAAGGTTGCAAAGAACGGGAGGTGCTCATAGTGCCATTGATTGTATAGTAACTAATGCTTGTAAAATGGGCACACCTTGCAGTTGTGAAAACAAAGCATGTTCAGACATGGTGGCCTGATCCTCTTCTGCATTTCTCCTAGGACAGTCACCCTCACGCCGCACCCCTTCCCCCTATATATAGGCTATAATGCTGCCGTTCTGAATCTGGGGGTATTTGGGCTGTGCATTACACAGGTGGGGTGTGGAAGTCGAGCCCAGTACTTTTTCTGGGGGTGAATTTCTGTATCTAGGCTGCTGAGCCTTCTCCAAGTCACTGTCTTTTCCAGGTGACTTAGGCTGTTTCTTCTGGATTTTTAGATGAATGGGCTAGACTTTGCAAAACAGAGATACGTTATCAGTTTATTTAAAGCTCTACAAATGCATGTTTCACTAGACCAGAAAGAGAGGTATGGCGAGGACGAGCTTGCGAATTGGGCACAGTGTGATGAGTGGTGACATGTGGCCAGGGTGAGGGAACTGCTGCAGTAGGAATGATGTCTTGCTTTGCTTAGAGTGTACTTCCATGCCCATTTCTCTTTCCTTAGGTCGATTGTGAGGAGCCGAGTACCCTCCCTCCCCTCCCCTCCGATCAGATTCCTTGTAAGTGAAGCTCACTTGCTCTCCGAGGACCAGACCTCACTGATGACTGGGAAGCAAAGAGTACCCAGGAAAGCACTTTTACCACGGACTCTGCCTCAGGAGCACCAGCAACTCGTCTTCTAAGTAAAATCTGTGCCCCTTCCGTGCAGACCCAATGTCTGCTGCAATGGATACAGAATCAACATATTCGGGATACTCCCACTACTCAGGTCACTCCAAAAAAGCCCACAGACAAGGGTAAGGAAATGTTTATTTTTGATTAGTTACTGCTCCAAGATAGGACATGTACCATGGAAAAAAAATTGTAAGCCAGGATGAAATCAGTGGGGCCACAGCTCTGGAGTAGGACATGTGGAGAGTCCTCCTGAGGAACCCAGTGAGGAGACTGGAAGCAATAATGCTGCTAATTTAATGATACTCAAGCTGTTGGATGCACACTGGGGTCATGTATGGCCAGAAAGATTGGGATAGCGCCAGCAAAAGGAAAAGATCATTTAACTCTGCTCTTAAAGTGCGAGGGATGAGTAGAGTCTCTGGGGAGAAGATGTGTCAGACTTCCTAAACTGATAATTGCCAGTTGTTTTCTTTTCCAATGCCATTTCTTTATTGTGTAATAATAAGGTTTCCTATCTCTCCCCACCATCCTCCTGGCTACTCTGTTGATGGTGTGTTGGGTTTTTTTAATAGAATTTGAGTGGTACTTGAGTCCACAACAAGTCCTTTATCAGCATTGATTGGATTAGAAGTCAGGCTTTTCTGAACTTGAATAGCAAGTCCTCTCTGTGGTAGTTCAGCAGCCTCAAAAACCATCTTGCTCTGAAACTTCTGATTACTTGGAAACATTATCCTTTTTTTTTCCTGCATCATCATCAGTTTTATGTGCAAAATGTGTGCCACTTACAGTCTTTGCAACTTAGAACTGAGCTGGTCCAAAATAACTTTGCATTTCAGAAGCAATTATCCTGTGGGGTTGGAAAAAGAATTCTTCCATGAAATGAACTCTCTTTGCTCGCAGTCCAGTTATTGAGTAAAACATCTCTTGTTTTCCTTTTCTTCCTTCTTTAACACCCCCACCTCCCATATGGATTGCCCTTTGAGGCTTAGAATACCATGTGGAAAGATGCCTTCAAAGTTCCCAAAACAACATAAAAATCCTAGAGCCTTTTACTGTGAACAGGAAAAAGTCTCATCCCATGAAACCGTTGGGCTTTGGTAATTCCAAGAGAGATGCAATGGGGAGAGCAGAGCTGGGACACTGGATGCTCCTGAGCTTTAAGTCAGTCCCTGAGCACAGTGAGGGTCTCTGGTGCAAAGGCTGCTTTCCTGTCCAGGTAGGAAGGGGGAGGACAATATTGGTGAGCAGATTGGTGGGGCTTAACTCATCTTGAGATATTCTCAGACAAAAAGCCGTGAGGTCTGCAAGGGTACTCTGGAAGTAAGCACTAGCCTGGTACCCTTGATGTTCTTGCTCTCTTTGTAAGAGGTTAACTGGCGATTATTAACCAGTGGAAATAAACTTCACTAGTTGTCCTACAGCATTAAGGTCCTAGTTGACAAGACTCTACGTTGCAGGAACTAAAGCTGTCTTGTTTAATTCCTTGTGTTAACTGTACATGTCCCTGTGAGACACTTTATTGCAGGCGGAGAGCTGTATAAACCAGTTAATCCCAAATGGAGTTGCCAGTTGTTTGGAGAATGCAAGCTTCCCTTTCAAGCGCAGCACGGGCAGAAGCTGTTTTAAGAGTAGATGAGGTGGTGGGGATGTACCCCTGTCCCCTTTGCTACCCTCTCCAATCACTGAGACGGTGGACTGTCCCAGCCACCAGGCTGTAGGCTGCTCTGGGCAAGGTCCCTTTCTACCTCTTCCAAAGCTTGTTTTGTCACAGGTTGAGTCAATATTGATCAAGAGATGGGCAACCATGACTATGACCTAATGCTTAGGGCACCTGCTGCAGGTAGAGGTGTAGCAAGTTCCAAGCCGTGCTCCAGAAACTATCTGGTAACGTTGTTCTCCTCTTGCTCTGTTTGGAAAAGGAGTCGGGACAGGCACAAATCGCCACGAAGCAAAGATGGCAGTCGATCTGAGAAGTCCGTCACTATCCAGACACCTCCTGCAGAGCCGCTGCTTGGGAACGATGCCTCTCGGGCGGAGGAGGGCCAGGTAAGGAGGGAGTGAAAGCAAACGTGGAGTGTGGTCTCTGGAACAGAATACGTGACTTACTGGCACATGAGTAAGAAGAAAAGTGTTGTTCGCATGCTGTTACTAAAGAATCACAACTTATGGGTACCTTTATTCACACATAAAGCCAAAGTCTCAATCTGTTTTGTCTTTTTCCGAGAGCATTATTTTTGACAGCACCAGTGCTGATGTGACTACTCCTGGGTCATTAATTTGCCTCTGTCTCCAGAGCGTCATCTGCCAAGCTGTATGGAAACATCTGTTTCCACCATCTCACTGTGCGTTATTCAGGTCAACCCTTTCACCTGTATGTGCACTTTTGTTTTTAAGCAGGATTTGCTCTAGGTAATCGTGTAAAGCACATTAGGACCAGGATCGTAGTAGGGAAA